TGCACTTCCGCTTGCTCAAGCTACGGGAGCGAATCTACAAGACCGTGCGGCACACTGGGCTGGCAGCTGGCTCCCCGATCTTCTCTTGATGGACCCCAACATTGACAACAAGAAGGAGTGGGACGAGTGGTGCATCGAGTATGTCGTGCAGGTGTTGAACCGCGACGTCTTTTTGCCCATCTGCTCCACCAGAGCGGAGCGCAGACGTTTGGCAACTGCTATTTGTCGTGAAGCGTGGCATGCTTCTGAAGTTCCACGATCTCGTCTTGAAGTGGCTCTGCAAGATGCCCCCCAGGACCCTGCCGCTCAACTACGTGCACTTGCGCTTCGTCGACAGGCCACTGCTGAACACCGTGCCAGGCGCCGCTGGATCCACAGCCAACGACTGCGTTTTCCTCCTCAAGGTGATCCAGAACTGCTCCCTGGAGACGATGATCACGATCCTGATGCTGAAGTTGATCTGGACCCACTGGTTGCCCATGACGTTCCTGACTTAGTCCAACTGGAGGCTCTTCCTGAAGATCTTCAACAGCGCTGGCGCCGCCTTCGCACAGACTTGGCGACACAGCCTCCAGCGCGTGTCTGGGCCATCCTGAAGGCGCTGTCGGGAGCCTGGACTACTACGACACGCATGCATGTGCTCCCCCAGCGCCGCGACTGTGTATTCGGTTGCAGGTGCCCTGATGCTGTACAGCACTACCTTGTTTGTCCTCGACTTCTTCATCATGTAGCCCAGCCAAGAGGACAGCTGGCCACCGACATTCTCACGCGGCTCGGCCACCCGACGCTCGAGACCTTTTTCGACGGGGAGAACGGGATCGCCTCTTCGGCTACGCGCATGGGAGTCGCGACGAGGCTCTACCATATCCTGAAGGACACCGCCAGCGTGAGGTGCGTCACGCCGACAGATGGCTACGCGGCCACTCGTGCTGCTCGGCATGCTCTTCAGCTTCCTCACGACGCTACCGGAGGAGCTGGCCGCCGCGGCTGCCTGACGCCCCCGGGCCGCCCGCGTGCGGCCCGCATGCCGCACCCTGTGCCTCTGTCTGCTGCCGCTGGCAGCTCCGCCAGCAGCGTGCGCGCGGCCAGCCTGCCGCGCCCTGTGCCCTCGCAAGCTGCTGCAGGCAGAAACGACGTAAACCCTCGTGTCCCGTGCTCGGAGCTTCCCGCCCCGCCCGCGAGCCGAGAGAGTGAGCTCCCAGTACAGCGGGGAGCTCGCTAACCGAAGCGAACTGTTCGCCCTCCAGGCTTCGTTCACTCCTCCTCCTCCTCCTCCTGCTGCTCCTCCTCCCTTTTTCACCCGTAGGCTTCGTTCACTCCTCCTCCTCCTCCTCCTGCTGCTCCTCCTCCCTTTTTCACCCGTAGAATCCCAACACGGGCGGTTTCCTTGGTCCGCGGATCCGATGTCTTCCGGTTCCCCGCATGAAATGAAATACATTTCACACGGGGTAGAAATCCGATCCGCCGTCCAAAATTTGGCCCGACGCGGATCCAGACATCGGATCCGCGCGGACGGAAATCGGGTCTACCGAAACAGAAAGCAAAACCACCAACATTGGACCCGCGCGAAGTTTATTGGATCCCACGGTGGTTATCTCATACGCGTCTGCTCAAGACGTCGAACCGTCGTTCCGGGCCCCAGAGGAACAATCTTCGTCCCGGGGAGGTATTGTGAAATCGTGAAGGAGGGGATGCCGTCGCAAATTTGGCCTCGGGCCTTGAGTGGCGATGGGAGCGTAGTGCTTTAGAGTGTGCATTACCTATTCCTCTTTCGCCTCCAGACCAGAGTCTCGAGGCGAACCCGGCGGTGGCGACGAGGGCCTCCCAGGAGGCCCCCCCAAAGGGAAAAACGAGGGAAGGGTAAAGGTATGGATGCCTTCGGTGGGTGGACAAAAAATGTCCACACCCATCGCGCCAAGATGATGCGACATCGAATTGCGTCGAACAGATATCCATTGCCCCCGTTCCCCCCCAACCCAAAGTTGACGGGGTTGGGTGCGGGGCAACGCGCGGGGGGACAGCATGTGCACACTTCAACTTTGGGTTTGGGGGTGAGGGGGGGGCGAGCCACATGTATTCTGTAATTGTCGTTGCCATCATGCGTGATTGTCTTCGCGCCGTCGGCGTGGGCACTTTTTGTCCGGGCACCGTCTTCCTCCTCTGAGGAGAAGCAACCATCGAGTGTTCAGTCGGGCGTGTCCCTGTACGGAAGGGATGTGTAAAAATAGTCTTAATATAGTTTGAGGACGATTTGATTTTCTTTTTTTCAATATACTTTACACGTAATTTTGACTATTTGGGATGTTTTGACTCTGTGGGATTTTTCTTGAAAAATCCGCCTGTAGGGGGACGCCCCACCTACATCGAGTGGGCCCTGTCGCCCCTCTCTCGGCGGCGAGCCTCGGAGAGGGGGGGGGGAAGCGGGGCGGGGCGGGCATACGCGGAGGGCTCGGAAGTGCCCTTCGGGCCCTGCGAGAAGCTGTCTGCGCTCCCCCCGCACACGCAGCAAGCCTCGCACAAGGCCCGAGGGCTTCGCAGTTCAGCTGCCTCGATACGCCCGTTTTCAGACGCAACGCGTGCCGTGCTCAAAACGTCCGTGTCAATGCGTTGCGTTTTGGCTCAGTCTATCGGCCCAGGTACTGGCGAACGTGTCGCGTCAGACCCACGTTTGCAGTCTACGTGTGAGCTCCGTACCAGTACGCTACGTGCTGCGTGTTGCGTGTCGGGGCAGCTAAGCTTCTCAGCAGCCCCGCCGCCTTCTGAGAGGGCCTTATCCTCGTCCCTTCGCCCCCCTCTGGCAGGGGGAAACAATTGGTGGACACTCCCCCGCCCCCTCAAACTAAAGCTTGGCACGCGCGGGGGAGACTGCGGTCTAAGTGCGGCTCATCAGACCCATTGCCAGCTTTGAACATTTGGGGGAGGGGGGGCGAGGCGTTGACCGACGAATGTGGCACGCGCGTTCGCTATTTTCTTCCGAGGCCTGTCGCTGGCCGCCGAGTCAATCTACCATTAAGTCGGGCCTGTCCCCCTGCCTGTCCCCCTACAGGAGGAATATTCAAAAATAGTCCATAGATAGACAGGGGACGATGTTTGGA